AATGCTTGAAAAGAAAATTTACAAAGGAAAGCTGGAGAGGTAAAGTGCTACAACACAGTAATATAGAGTGTTTGTGTGACACTGAATCACACTGTTTACTGTGTGTCATTTAATAATAATGATAATAATAACAATAATAATAATAATAGTATTAACTAACTGAGAATGGACACAACGTAAAACAGAAGCTGCAACCGTTAGCATATCCCGCTAACTAGCTTACTATGTACAGTCGCGTCACGAAACATTTCATTGAATACACTTTGTGGGGTTATACGTTACGTTCACGGCGGCACATTCACTGGGTAGTGTTTGTAGAAGCCGATCCTGAATGCTATCAGAGTTTAAGCAAACGTTAGCGGCTCGGTCACGCTCTTTAATGGGTTTGCACGGGGAACCAAAGCCAAACCTATAACCTGAGATCTCTTCATTTGTCAAACCCACTAGTTAGTCCTGGGACATGGAAACATACTGCTATACGTAAGCTAACATTAAGTAGCCAATTAAGGACATGTCAAAATGAAGGAGAAAAGGTTACCACACTTAAAATACCAGGAAAAACAAGCTCTGCACTACAATACGAGATCAATAACGCTGTTTCTCGTTATCAATGTACACTGCATGTGTGCTTTGATTGACAGGCGTAGCAACAGTAGCCAATATGGGTCGTGTTCATTTCGTTTACATGCCCGATTTATGTTAATAATGACAAATGTTTCCTGTAAATTGTTTTTAAAATATGCCGTTTTCTGATGAAAAGCAATCAAAGACATCTTTTACAGCACCAAGTTATTTCAAAAATACAGTTTATGCTGCAATACGATCACCTGGTGCACAGTGAACGTGTCAACACCTTCCAGAGAAAATTAGCCCTCTTTTGTGAGCTTTTTTTCCAGCTCGTTTTGTGCAAGAAAGTCCTTCAGAAACTCCAGATGTTCCCCCAAAAAAATCATGCTGGAAGGCTGACAAGGAATCAGCTTTCAACAGATGCCTTGTGCCTCAGGACTCCGTGATTTAGCTGCTGTGAATGATGAAACAGGGTTTCAGTGTCTCACAGCCTGACAGGCTTTTATAATTATGAAGGCAGCTGCGAGTCCGGGTGACGTCATGTCAGCGGATGGGAACCATGAAATGAGATGGTACATTAGCTTTCTAGAGTTTTTGTGTTGATGTATTTGTTAAAGCGTGATATACAATCACTGGAATGTGGAAGTGGAGCACAAGAGAAGTAGGTTGTCTTGACCTTGTAAATAATCTACGTACTAGTTTTTCTGGAGTGTGAGATTCAGTTGAAAGCTCTGGAGGAAAGCAAGTAACTATTAATTTCATTATCTATTAATATAGAGATGATTTGAATAAATCAATTTAATGTGCTTGTTTCTTTTCCTGCACTGTGAGTTCCAGCTGAAGGCTCCAGGACATTGTCTTTCCTCGAGTAATGCAGCAAGCACGGATAGAGATTGCACCACCATCCCCACAATATCTCAAAAGAGCACAACAGTATTGAGTTAGAAAGATGTGTGGCACCATCATTAACAAAAAGTGCTTGAATATTTTGTTGGTAAAACACACCTGTGAGACCAATAATACGAATGACAGCCGTCTTTGACATTATTAGATATTTGTTTTTTAAAAACAATACATTTCACAAGGAAATAATTAAATTAAATATAAATGATGATGGTGATGATACAATCTTAAATGACACTCCCCTGCTCTTCTAGACACACCATCTCAAAGAGCAAAAAGAAGAAATACAACCCTTTCATTTAATGTCCCTTTTATTTACTTTACTGGTTTATTCATCGGGGAGAAAACGCATTAATTCACATTAATATACATGAATGAGTGAGATTTATCCAAAAGGCTCACCTTCATGTGCAGCTCCTCTCTTAAAGAGACGAGACACATCAAGATGTTTCCTCTTGATTAAACTTAGATGCCAGATTTCGTTGGTCACCAATAGGTGGCATCCCAATCCAACACTATACTTCCTACTATACCTTTAGTGCAGTAAAAACACAACTTAAATTATTAACAAATTAATAACACCATTTCTCCCATATATCAAGTCCAAGAATGGCATCGACTGACCTACATTGTTCGTGTGAGCGGCCAACTTGTTTCTTAGATTTAATAAACTTAAGTGTGTCTGTTCCAGGTTCATACTGGTGAACCTAAAACCTCCAGTTAGGACCTACAGGAGGTTTTCATGCCCTCCTGCCGACCTCGGACACCCCACAACAGTGTCTCAGACCGCTGAAACAGGAGCGCCTTCTCTTGTTACAGCCTGTTCTGACCCCCGTGGGTCCCTTGTCTGAGCTGTGACCGACCAGCGTGGGTCATCTATACTTCGCCCAGGGAGTCCCAGTGTCATGTTGCTAGGAAATGGCATATTACCGCTGCCAATCATGGAGTAACTGGAGCAAACAGCCAGGACGTCATCTTGGCTCTGATGCTTATCAGGATGCTACAGCGTGTATACGTTACATCCTGTCTGATAGGTTTGACTTTTACGTCCACCTTTTCTTTTCTTTTGTAAAACACATTGTTAAGACTGAGTATTGAATAAGGATGCTGTTGCTTTAAGGTGACACTGCTTTTACTGCAGAACAGAGGAATGTGAGCTCTGTCCCTGTGGTCCGCTCATATGCTGCTCTGTCGACACGGAAGTAAAGCATACCTCAGTCATCAATCATGTGATTCTCTCACTGTAAAAATAGCCACGGGTACAAATCCACTCAAAGCCGGGCTGAAAAATAAAGTTGACATCTTGCTTTCATTAGTTGTTCAGAGGAGACACAAGACGGGATGAAAAGGAGGAACAAGAACTATCTATCCATCTATCTATCTATATATGTATAGATATGTATCTATGTATGTATGTATGTATAGATATGTATCTATGTATGTATCTATCGTAAACAGTTTAAATATTTGGAAATAGTTGTGTCAAGAACAAAAGAAGTGAGCTGAGAGAGAAGAAGTGGAATGTAACTCAAGTAGTGCACCTGCAGTACAAATATGAGGTACTTTTACTTGAGTATTCCATTCTATGCTACTATTCCACTACATCTTAGAGGTACATATTGTACTTTTTATTCTACTACATCTCAGAGGTAAATAATGTACTTTTTACTGTACTACATCTACTTCTTCAGATAAATAAACTCTTTAAAAAGCCTCTTGGATCAGCTGGAAAATGCATCGTCACAAAGCTGAAAACAGGCTGTTTGTTCTTTTTAGAGATACGTGGTTCTCACAGGACAGAGACGCTACAAACATATGATGTTCTTATAGAATATGATGCATTGATGTAGATTAAACTAATAACAGGATATAAAGGAGTTAACATACACATTAATGCAGCAGGAATATTAATCCAGAAACAACAGATATGATCCTAAAACACAAAGAACCTGTTGTTTCACAAGAGTACTTTTACTTTATTAACTTAAAGTACAGTCTGCTGATACAGTGCATACTTTTACTTAAGTAAGGTTTTGAATGCAGGACCTTTAGTAGTAGTGGAGTATTTTCATAGTGTGGTATTAGTACTTTTACTTAAGTAAAGGATCTGAATACTTCCTCCACCACTACTAGAGAGAGAAGTTCAAACCCTGGAGCTTTGGGAGATATTTCTTGTGTGTATCATATTTTGTTTTGGGTTATTTTAATCTAGAAACATCTCTGTAAATGCATCAGATTGTGTTTTAAGTGTGGATTATTTCCAAAAGGGAACCAACACGTTCTCTCTTCACTGGTTTATGAGATAAGGGTGAACTAAAGTGAAGAGGGGCAACAAGTTGACATCAAAGAACCTGAGATAATCGCCAAAATCTGATTGTTATTAGAGATACAGAGTAAATAAAAGCAATTCCACTTCAAATATGTAATTTTAATACTTTGCTGTATGAAACTTATAAGAGGACTTGTGTTAGACCAGGACCAAAGGAAATGAAGACAACAGAATTTACATCTTCAGTGTGATTTATTTAACAAAATATGACCTCCACTTTCACTGGATACCACCACAGGGTGTTCCAGTTTTTACATAAAAAATATCACATCTCATTTTTATTGATTTGCTGTGGAAATAATAAAAAAAAGAAAAAGCTGAGGAGTTCAGAGAGAGAGAGAGAGAGAGAGAGAGAGAGAGAGAGCGAGAGAGAGAGAGAGAGAGATGTGATTTCAACATTCATTGACGAAGAAGTTCTTAAGACGTTTTTTCAACATCTGTCATCTGGGCTTCCAACATGTCTGCTCAGAGGATTGTAAAAATGAGAATAGATTTATGTGGTAAACAACAAAGCCAGATCTCCCAGTAAAAAATAAATACAACTTCTCAGTAGGAATAAACAAAACATAAGGAACCAAAACAAATCATCGCAAACCATTTGGGCTGACTGAACGGTTAAAGAGTGTACGCTGTGTCGGGCTTACATGCATCTCTTTGCGGGGAGAAAGCGACTGTGGCCAGACTCGCATCAGCCCACGGCTGCAGCTTATTGCCATCCCTGCCACACCACATTTTTCCGCACTAAATCATCATCATTTGCAGCGAGAACCCTGAACATCCAAAGAGCTATTACGCGGCGTCCAACCATCAATTTGCGGAGCCCGCAGGGCGGCAGAAGTCGCCCGAGGGCGGTCACTGCTGCTGCAGAAGTATCCCAGCAATGTGCAGACATGCAAGAGCCACACGTGTCCTCTGATCTTTGGGAGTGGAGCCTGATTAGAAACACCCAAAACTCAAAATATAATGTGTGAAGAAGGATTTGCACCCTCCACGTCCTAGTTCCACTTGAATCCAGTCAGAGGAAGAAGCAACTTGCCGCAATTATGTTCGAAGCTTGAAGTAATAGTTTGCCATTTGGGAAACTTCGCGTAGCGGCTTTCTGGTTGCAAAGTTAAACGAGAACAATGAAACCACTCTTCTGTCTGTCTATTGAATGTGAAGCTACAGACAGCAGCTGGTTAGCTTAGCTTAGCACAAAGGCAAACAGCTAGCCTGGCTCTGTGCAGCAGCGCCTCTGAAGCTCACTTATTAACACGTTATATCTTGTTTGTTTAATACTTACAAATACTGAAGTGTACGTTGTTAAATTTGCCATTTTCCAAAAGGTTATGTGCTGGACTATTTCTTGAGCGGAGTCCCATCGTGTTGATGGAAACTGGTCCCCCATAAAACGGCGAAATTATGTTTTTACACTTCGTTTTCTTTTTTGTATCAAATAAACAAGATTTAAAGGTGCTGGTTGGTGGATTTTTTCACATCTGCACAGAGCCAGGCTAGCAGTTTCCCCGTTTTCAGTCTTTGTGCTAAGCTAACTGGGCTGTGGTTTCATATTCAAGAGAAAGATACGAGTGTTATCAATCTTCTCATCTGACTCTTTGCCAGAAAAGCAAATAAGCGCATTTCACAAAGTGTCGAACGTCTCCTTTGAACATATTAAGTGGGTGGTGTGCATCACTGGTAGCCCAGAGCGGATGCAGATCCAAGTCTTTGACTGTAGAGAGCGTAATGAGGGTAGTACGGGCCTGTGGTGGGCAGAGAGTGCAGGGAGATGGAGGAGGGTCCAGGGGGCATATGGACCTTGTTGTAGGGGTGATAGCGAGCCAAACCCATGCCGGGCGGCGCCCTGAGAGAGAGGGAGCTGTGCATGGAGCCTGGGCTGCTCTGGTGGGGGAGGTGGAGGTGGCAGGAGGCGGGTCCAGAGGAGGAAACGGCAAGCATCTTACTGTCCATGCCCATGGGCATCGCTGTGTGCGTGCGCAGGTGAGCCAGGAGCTCGTCGGACGTGGCGAACCGCTTGTCGCACGGCCCCCCCGCCGAGACCCAGTTGCAGGCGTGAGGCTGGGGGTCGTTGGGGAGCATGAAGCCGTACGTGTAGAGGGGGTGCGACAGGGAGGAGGACACGCTGGACGACATGGAGCTTTGGTGGAGCGAGTGCAGCGGGTGGGAGGGGTACACCAGTGGGAAGTTTGATTTGAGGGTGGGGGAAGGGTCGTGGATGCAGGAGTTGCAGTTGCTTCCGCCGAGATGGGACATGCTCGGAAAGCTGAGACAGTAGGGGTCCCTGCATAGACTCTGCATGAAGGATGGAGGGGAGGCCCCTGTGAGCGGGCTGGAGCTCGGGTGCTTTCCTCCCATGCCGAGGCCCGACTTTGTCGGATCCATCCCGGGAACGAACTGAGACGGGTAGCCGGCGTACGCCCCCACGACAGATCCGTGGTAGCCCATGTTAGAGGGCAGGGGGAAGAGCTGGCTCGTTTTGTAGGGAGAAATGGGCGTGATGCGTCCGTGGCCGAGGTTGGGCTGCGTGGACTCCGCTTTGCCCCCCTCGTGGTTGGAACCCCCGTCAGAGCTGCCGTTGCTGCAGTTCGTGACGGCTCGAGCGTGGCTGGAGTTCGCGTCGTGTGGACTGTCCGAGCCGGCCTTGTTTACATCTGCGTCCTTTTTGGGGTTATTGCTGCTGCTGGTGGTGCTGGTGGGACTGCCTTGCTCGTGTGCAGCTTCTCCACCAGGAGTGTGAGAGCGTGGCTGTCCACCAGGAGACTGGCTCAGTTTGTGCTGCTGCTGCGTGTGTCCTGGTGGGGTGCTGCTGCTGGCTCTGGAGCTGGGTGAGGCAGCGTGGGCTGGATAGGACTGCTGGCCATTGGTTGAATTTCCGTTAGTGGTGACATTATTGCTGGGTACCCTGAACCCGACTTTATCGCTGCTGCTGCTGCTGGTAACTCCGTCTCTGCGACAGTCTCCACCACCTTTGTTGTAGGGCTTGAAGCTACACTTGTCGTCCGGAGAGGGGCGGTGCTCCCCGTGCTTCGACCGACTGCTGGACTCCTTCTCCCCCTGGCTGCAGGAGGAGCTCAGCTTGGAGGAGGACGGTGGGTCTGGTTTACCGATCTGAGAGCAGGTCTGTGCCAGCAGGGCCAGTGGACTCTTCTTGGCATCCAGCTACAATAAAATAAAGATTCTGATTAGCTCGGGAACATTTTTTGTAAAGATTTTAAGGCAAAAAATTAATTAAAAATAAGCAAGGTCTGTTAACTAATTAACCAAACGTCCGTTAGTCCTTTCTAGGCCTATTAACTGTTGGGTTTTCTTAATTGTATCTAGTTACTAGCAAGTAATTAGCAATTAATCTGACTATTCAAGTAATCCTTTTCACAATAAGATAATAGAAAATAGTGAAAAATGCCCAATATGATTTCCCAGAAACCAAAAGAATGCCAACATGCTGATTTTAGAGCTCTAAAGAAAAAAGCCAAAAGTTCTCTGCTTTAATCTTCTTAAATTAGACGGTTTGCTGCTTTTCTTTGTCATATATCATAAACTGAGTATCTGTGGGATTTGGGGATTTTTGGGTCAACAAAAGAAAACATTAAAAGACATCACCTTGGGCTCTGGTCAGTTGTGTGATTTTTATTTTTTTACATTTTATAGACTTAACAATTAATCAATAATGAAAATAATCGATAATTGCTGCCCTACTTGTTTACTTTGTCTGACCAATGAAGTAAAACCTAAAAAAGAATAAATTACATGTCATGTGAGAAAGATGCATCAGTACATCCTCGACACAACGACTTGATTATCAAAGAAAGTGACTATTGACTATTTGATTAATTGACTAATCGCTCTAATTAAAACACAAGTTGTCATTACTTTAGAGTGTTGATATGAATCAAGACCAGTTATGTAATATGTATGATAACAACAACAGTGAGGCAGAGAAGCATTTGTTTGTTGGATTTTATTCTCTTCTAGAATATAAATCAGGATTTGTCTTCGCTGTCATAACGGATGACACTGCGATTCATTTTCCACACTGCTGTGAAACCACAAAACACTGCAGTGCAAATATATCTATATCTATATCTATTCCTTTCTAAATGATAAACATGTTTGTTTCTAAAGACAGTAAATACCTCGATGCTCACTGGCGCGGGCGTCAAAGGCTGTAAATATTCCGGGTGTAGCAAGTGTCCGGTGTGCGCAGACAACATCTTGAGAACTCGGATGGGGAGCCGCTTTGCCTGCCGAAGTGGGTCCAGAGGGGTCAATAGAGACACCACAGCACCGGGGCGAGGCTTTGTAATGTCGCTGGTCTCACTGAGCTCGATCCGCTTACTTACTGGTCCTGAAGGGAGATATTTCATTGGAGAGAGGGCGCTGCGCTTTAGGTGGATGTGCGTCAGGATACTTTTAGTCCAGAATAGTGTCTACGGGTGATAAATGTAATCCATGCAGTCACCAACAAATAAAAAAACAAAAACGCACACACAGCTGGACGTCCTTAAATGTCCCGAAGGACGGAGAATCCTCTCAGCTCAAGCATCACCGACACGGCTCCTGTACTCCAATTTTAAAGACAAAAAGAAGTCCGCTGTGTGAATAATGCGCAAAATGGAGACAGTGTCCGTCCTGTTAGTGCATTAAAAAAAAGACCAGAGTTTACTTTACATAGTCCAAGTGTTGGAGAGGAAACGTCCCACTGCGTGCTTTCGGTCCGGACTTCAGCAGCTCACTGATCACAACAGGCAGGACTTCAAAGTGTCCGCTGGGCGGCCGCATCACTCACGAGGTGGGCGGGGAGGACGCGCGTGAGGGCGGAGCGACGGCGTCCTCAAAGTGACAATACTTTTGACTCTAGTGGAGGAAGTACTCAGAGCTTTTACTTAAGTACAGGTAGAAATACGACAGTATATATACACCGTTTTATATATATATATAAAGCTTAATAAAAGCATCAAAATGTAAACATTATGCAGAAAGTCCAATTTCAGATTCATATAAATTATTGCATTGGTGATGCTTGTTACCTTAATGTTGCAGCTGGTGAAGGTGGGGCTCTTTTAAATTACTTTAAATGCTGTTAAAAATTGAATAATATCTTATAATTTATTAGTTGACTTATATTTTGTATTAGTCTAAATCTGCAAAGTAACTAAATGTATCATATGAATGCAGTAAAAAGTACATTCGCCTCCAAAATGTTGTGGAATAAAAGTACAAAGTATAGCAGAAAAGGAAACTACTCAAGTAAAGTACAAGTACCTCAAAATTGTGCTTAAGTGCATTATTTGAATGAATGTACTTAGTTACATTCCACCGCTGTCTTTACAATATGTAAGTTTGTATTCTGATAAATACAAAAGTTTATTGTCACATAACTGTGGCTTTACTGACAAATAAACCCTTGTCAAAGATTTAAACAAGTTATAGCATTAAATATGCAACAAATGGGTTGTGTGCTGATACAGTGTCATGAACTCTCTGGTTATTAGGAGAACAACGTGATACTTTGATTATATTTGTGGGGAATTTGGGTTTTTATTTCCTTCATTAATCATCTGTCATTCTGCTCTCTGATGAACCGAGGTCGAGCCAGTCCACGAGTGTTTATCTTTATACAGCGACCAACTGTCCTAAAAAAAATTACCCGTTTAATTCAATTTCACGCAAAGAAAAAAATAATCACATCCATCTTTTGTGCATTTATAAACTGGACAGTTATGGGGCCCCATATTCTGGATAGAATTATTTGTAAGAGTTGTACTGTCTAGATGTTGTGGTCGATCAGGAGACGCACAAATAAAAAAAAAGCATAAAATTTGTGGCTATAAGATGTTGTCGACCATGACTAAGAGAAGCAATATGTTCTCACATGAGGTCTCAGTGCAAAATCATGAGCATTGGATCATACGGTTCAATCTCAGAGTGCAGTTTTAACGTCTTTGACACATGACCGTTTAAACTCAAAGGTTAGTCTAAACGGAAAACTTAACTTTGCTCAAAATGTCAAGCGGTATAATTTCCAGCTCGTGAAACATAGATCTAAAGGCCCGAGCAGGAACTTCACCGCTGACAACTTCAACAGAGAGGGATACCATGAATGTACTGGGACGCATGCGGTGCGTAGACCCCCTTATTAAAACTAAAAATGCACTTTTGTGAGTGTCACGGTGCTGAGAACAAAGTCAGCGAGCAGTGGAAATAAGTCGTATACCGTCACATGAGTCATCCTTCACTCAGCTGTTGACAAGCAGATGAGTACAGGGCAAACACCAAAAGGGGTTTTACCAGTTGAGATGCTTGTTTTTCACAGCAATTTAGGTTAAAACAAATGTAGTTTTTCGAGCGTTTCCTTGGGGCTTAACTCAGTCAAATCAGAACACAAAGCGCTGATACATACATTCATAGATTCAGTGTGACATCTAAACTACACGTCCATAAATCCGCTTCAAAAGCAGAGCAAACAAGACGCTCCAGAACTTGCCTCACACTTCTCATGTTTTTAAGTTTCCTTCAGTGTCAAAGTAACCCAGTGAAAGCTGTCTGTACATCCATGGGCACGTTGCAAACAACTGCCAATAGCTAATTGTTCATGCTTTAAAGGGGGCCAAAATGTTCAGCTTAATTGAATGTTTTATGCAGCTGTGTTAACTTTCATCAGTTGTATGATGTCAGCAGCTATAGCGATTTTATGTTATACGTCAAATGGCACAACCCAGTCTATTACCTCATCACATGCGTTTACTGTACAGTATGTTCTTTTACACTACGTATACTGTGAGTCGCAGAACAAACCGGAAAAGACATAAATGTAGTTGACAGACGCACAAAGAGGACAGGTCACATATTTTCTAAATGCTTAATTCTCCTCCCTTTGAGGTTCACACACATGTTCGCAAGTCGTGCTGAACAACACCATCACTATTATTGTAAGGTTTGAGACACGTGCACTCATTTTCTTTTAATAAACAAAGTTCAGGCATGTTTTGACACATGGTGTGACGGATCATTTCTCTTCTCGCTTCTGCTCTGAGCATAACGTTCCCTTTCAAAAATCAATAAAGCACAAATAAAATGTCACCAGTCTATTTTCTTTTCTTTTTTGAATTAATGCCATTTATACCGGGGAAGAAAAACGCGATAAAGACGGATCGCCTCAATATTAATGGTTCTATAAATCTGGAATGTTAATAACTTTATTGCATTACCGCCTGCTGACTGACTTTGCAATGAGCTAATTTTGTTAACCTAATTATACAATGAATTGGTTAAAGTACTTAAAAATTACGGCTGACAAGAGCTATTAGCAGCAGCCCAAAATAGTCTCAGTCTGAGATTCTTTGAATCTCTCAATCCTTTTGCCGCCTCAATTGAGTGCGAAATCATTCCTAATCCCTCATAACCTGTGGCCAAAAGGCTGCATAATGTGAATTAGTTGATGGATATTTGTACATATCCTGCAGGGTCCTCCTTAATCTTCAAAAGGAATGGTTCACATGTAAATATAGGGAAAAGGGAAATAAATTAATACTGTAAAAGGGTTAGAATGTAGATTATTTTGAAAAAAAATCTCTTACAAGACTTGTTAACTATGTGACATCAGCATTAGGTCACCGTTTAAAAAAAAAAATAAAGAACTAAAGCAACTGTTGCCTTGACCTCGAGCCCTAAACAGCAGAAACAACCACTCTCAGCAATCCATCAATGTCCAATTTGTGATAAGAAGCAGAGAGTGGGAGCACCATCTCATCAGCAAACAAGGTCACAGTCTGCAGCGCTGCAGAGGAGAGAGCACTGGTGTGGCTTTAGGGGGGAAACAGACACAGCAGGAGCAGTGGGTTCCTCCTCACTAAGTGCTGGCACAGTACAGTAGTTGTTAGAATACAGGCAGGGATCTACATCAGTGTGTTAAATCATTTAATAAATCTATGAACCACAGTATTTAGCAGCGCTTCTCCTGTAGAATTTGCAAAATCAAAGCATGTTTGCTTTCATTACATAAAAACTGCCGGTCTGAAAGAATTAGTATTAATATAAAATGTTCAAAAGCATTAAGAGCTGACTCAGGAGAAAGTAACGCCTGTATATGCATCCGTCTGTATTATAACGTCACAAAGAGGTCGCAGACGAAGTGTAATAAACAATATGACTGAAATGATCTCGACACGGTGTGGTAATTTGGTATTGTGTGTAAAGAATAAGAGCGTCATTCTTGATTTCCGATCATTAATGCAGGTTTAGTGGCAGCACCCTTAAACCTGCAGTAGCTGACTGCAAACATGTTTTTTTGGGGGGGAAACCCCCTATCTAAAGGAACACAATGTGCAGGTGCAGATCTCTTCAGATTGAGAAATATTAGTAAGGGAAAAGGAGACCGTGGGAGATGAGAGAGAGAAAAGAGAAGGTCGAACACTGAGAAAGAGGCCACAACACACAAAGGGACTCTTCTCTTTAACTTCTCGTGACTTGCCTTGAAGTTGGTCATTAGCGGAGACAGGTTTCCTCTTGTTCCCTTATCTTCAAAACATAATCAAAGCGGCAAAACAACGAAAAACAATGAAACCAAATGCACTGAAGCCAGTCTTAAAGACTCCAACTACAACGTAAATGGTGTTTGTACTGTGATAAAAGGCAGATGGATAGTCAGACGTTTATAGAGCTCCAAACACCAGATGTGTCCTTTCTGTAGCTTTTGGTCTTTTATCCAAGAATGAGACTGAAAGCTGCTTCTGAAACACTCTCTTCTAATTTAAGTCTATTGACAGTTAAACCTTCTTCTCCTGCTAAGCCTGCAGAGCTATATGCAGTTCACAACAACGGTGGCTGTTTGGCAAAGTTTATAGTATTTGCTGAATTAATAGGTCTTTGAATTCACACAAAAATAAACAAAAGCTACTTTCCATTGCTAGCTGACGCCTTTTGATTACATCGGCTGAAATGACGACTGTCGCTAGCAGATTTTAGCCGGTTTAGCTAGCGGGCTAATTAACAGGTTGAACACTCAGTATCCAGCTGACTATTCGAATGCGTCCAGCTGATTTGTTCCGAAACAAGAAGTCTGTAAATGCATCTTAAATATTGATATAAAATTCAGCATCCAGTACATGATCCATAAACAAAAAATGTAAATAAGGAGTAGCATTGTTTTTATGAATGAAAATGTAATATAGTTTATCGTTTGGATGATTTCGAAATCCTCGTAGAATAGACGCCGGGTCAATATTTGAGAATTACTCCGACATCCCAGAAACATTCACTTAATGGCTTCTCTTTTGCGTTTAAATCTCTGCAAAACCAGCAGTTTGGCATGACTGCGCATCAGTCTCGACTTATCAGACTTAAAGTCTGATAAGTCGCATCTTATCTCCAGCACAGTGGATGTTCAGGTCCTGGATGTTTTCTAATCTAACCTGTTATCTAACTATATAATTAGGATGATATGCTCGTTAAGATTTGGCAGCAATGCTGGGTTAGCATTATAGAAAGTAAGCTAGTTAGCCAGACATGCTATCTCAGTAGCTAACTAGTGATTAAACACTCTGTTTAATCCATTCCACACAAAATACAAGCAAACTGCATAAGAAGATGAAAATATACTTCACATGCTTGCTCACATACAGTACAGCATGAAGCAGAATATATGAATGCTGAGTCTGTTGATCATTAATGCAAAAATCAACATAATGCACTCATCAGCTTGCCTAGAATATGCCCAATGAT